CGACCCTTGACAGAGAAACTGATGTCACGCCTACGCCACAGGTGACGTAGGTTCGCAAAAGCTGCTCTGGCCTTCCCAATCCGGATGGAAATATCATCTTTCGCGAGACCACCGGGACTGATACAACTGCCCAGGTAAACAAATTTGTCTACTACCTCAATGGGTTCATCCGCAAGCATGAGACTAGGGTTCGAGCCCAGTCAGTCTTGCAGTAGCAAGACTATCTCCGATATCCAGCACTTGAGTGAAGTTAACTGTAACGCACCACAGGCGGAACTACTGGCAAGATGCAAAGATGTGACGTCCACAGTCCAGTGCGAATTGGTTTCTAAGGAAGGAGCGGTTGGAAGGATTCTGGAAGGTTATCTGAATGAATGCGTTTGGCTATAGGATCCATGATCCTTGTGGTTACGCAGTCAGCGTTTACTGGTGCTCAAAAGTTTGACGAAACACAATACCGGTCAGAATTCACACACGTTCTAATATGAGCAAGTCAGTGGTTGATCTATGCCATCAGTAACTGATCAAAATGTGACTGATTCGCTGCTGGATGACACCATGTGACTAGATTTGATCAGTCTGGATCACAATAACTGTTTTCGGCCAGCACACAACTGGAGCATTTTGTCCTCTAACCGAATCCATTCCAAGTCGACCATACAATTAAGTCTCAGGTGGATTAAGTCTGTTTACTTGCGCATTCATTTCCACGTTGGTATCCCAGCATCTGTTTCTAAGTGGAAGGGTACTCAAGGCCGTATAAAAACTGTCTTCGATAATGTCCGAGGCGCTGTCTTTTCGAATGTAGGGAAGCGTTGTAAAAAACTGGTGATTGCCTTTCTATTTATGAGGCCACTTCAGAGGAATTGTTGAGCTACTAACACAGGTAACTGTTGACAGCTACCCAGTCAAATATTGACCGTTTCGTCTAGTGCCTTAACTCCTTTGCACTGCTTCTCATAGCGGCCTTTGTTTCTTCCTGCCTGCTGTTCGTATGAAATGCATTCCCCGAAAAGCGTTCCCCAATTCTGAGCAGAAATGTATTGGTGAGGCCCAATCATTTCTTTTCTGGATAGACGCACTGTAATTCTCATATCAGTTCTTACCATTTGGCATCGGCTGAACTGCCTGCTCCCACAGTGTCTCCTCACCCGAATAATACTACTTACTACGGCCTCATCCTCTCGCACCGAAGAGAAGACACTAAGAGGAGGGACTTTTTAGCCTCCTTTCGGAAGTTATGCTATCCTCAAAGGATTAGGAGCTTCCCGTTTGTAGTCAGTCCATGTAGAAGGATTGAGATATACCGGTTTCTCTTTTCGGAAATGATTAAAAAAATTGGAGCGACCTGGCAGGTAATGCGCCGTTTGAAAAGCGCGGAATGTATAGCGCAAAAACATCGGGAGAAGCAATCTTCATCAGTTGCCATAGTGCAACCACTGTTGGAACGATATAGAAGTGTTCACCATGTATATTAATAGAGATACATATGGTTAAATAATCTGTGGGCATAAGTTGCCTAATCTGCAAGCAAAGAGACTTGTTGTGCGTTACGTAATTTACGTAGTTTCCGTTTGACTGCGAATCACATTGGCTCATAGCCTCTTGGATGCAAGTTGCGTACCAACGCGACTTGATACTGGTGGAAGGTTCTGCTGAGATCGGGTCACATGCTGGGAAATACAGATTTATCACACTATCATTTCATAGATGCGGGAACAAGTCCTTTCAGGTGGCTAAGGCCTAAGGGCGAGCTACTCGACACGAGTAAGTTACTCTGCCTTCCTGATGTCTACCCTCTGCAAATTATTTCTTCCGACAAACTTTCTTGCAGATTTACTTTTTGATTTCATTCCGTCACATGATATCCGGACCCTTGGATGTTCTCAGTCTGCTGCACTCAGGTCTGAGTGAAGTCACTGTGTTCTCGAGTTGTTGTCGATACAAACGCCACTCAAAGTTTTAAGGTCTTACTTGTTTGTTGTCTAACTGTTATCAAACTTAGCACAACAAAATTAGAAGGATGCCGTGCCTCGATAGATGCCTGTGAGTATCAGTTGATTTGAAATATTGATGGACATGAATCAGCTGTGCCGGTTATTTTTATAGCTGTGCGCATCGGCCAATTTCCAACTCGAACAGCCTGAGTGTTGGATTGTAGCTCGGACGCTAACAAACTAGCTTTTCTGTCGGCTGTCTCTGAGGAAAACCCAGGCGGTGTATGATAGACCGGACGTATTGTTAATTTCCATCTACTAAATTTGGCAACGATGTTTTAGGGGTCGGATTAATTCGACCTAACGACCTTATGTTCAGGCCACGAATGACAAACTGCGTATCAGTGACAAGGTGAAGCTACGAGTAGTACTCTAACTCTGGTGGTCTTGTGACATCTCGTGAGCTTGTACGTGCAATAACCGGTTCTGAGATCTACTTTTTAACCTGACATTCATTTTACTTTCGATCCTCTCAGGTTATTCATCACTCGTTATCAGGCTGTTTGCACAGAACAAAACCTCGATCGCCTTACAGCGAACATTTTGACTCTTCCACCTCTACAAACGGATTCACGTATTCGTTCTGGAGAGGTATCTGCCAGACAGGCTCTGGCTGCTTTACGACTGACCGACACAGACACCTCTTCCATGAAGGCTCCCGTTATACGAACTAGTGACAGGTGGCATCGTAAGTGTTACCTTACTTCGAGTGCGATATATCTCAAAATCATGGCACATATTGTTAAATTTCGTTCGTTTTTATGGACAGAATCTTCTAGTTAGGTTCGCCACATGTGATGAAGGCCCAGTAGAATAATTCAGGTGCAGTCTACTGATCAAGAGGTTCGTATCCCGCATCCACCTCGAATGGCAGTTGTACACCCAATGGATGCCACGGCTGGGGAGTGTAATCCAATAGGCTCTAGTTGGGTAACTTGGTGGACTGCTGTTCCACACCCGCGCATCCACCTCGAATGGCAGTTGTACACCGAATGGGTGCCACGGCTTGGGAATGTAATCCAATAACCTCTAGTTGGACAAATTGGTGGACCGCTGTTCCACACCCAAATGTGTCCAATCAGTGCACGTTCATTTGATACTGTTATCCAAGAACTCGGTTAACTTTTTTCAGTAGTCTCAACCAATTAATCCGTGTTTCGGTAACGTACTTTTGGATAGTTTAAGATGGAGGCCTGTTCAACTAAGTCCCTTGGATTAAATCGATATCGATTACGGCAAGTCATCTACTCCATGGGCTAGTATTCGAACTATGCACACTTATGATCGTCTTGCTAGGTTTTGCATTGGGTGAGATCAACTGCTGCGTCAACATTTGCGGGCTCACTGGGCCATATCTCAGTTTCTCAGACTGCTTAGGGTGCAGAAAACATCTACTGCACCCAGTCAAGCGTTGAACGGATTCTTCAAGCCGGTTAACACGTTGGACTACACTTCCGATACTTCAAATCGTGGTTAAGGGCGGTGATGCAATCGGATTCGAGTGAGGCAAGATTTCTTTCAACAGACTACCCAATAGATTAACGCGATATGAATCCTTGCTTTATGGAAGACACTTTTGGGTATTCCTGACTATTCGACTGGAATAGATTGTAGCGCTCACTTCGATGATCCATATTGGTGGATATCTGTGTAACGTTTGCAAAATCTGACAAAATAACGCAATCTTCACCAGTTACTCTCTTTTGCATACGAAGTTTTCTGCAACCTCACGAGTATTGTTTTACGTCTAGACTAGTTGCTGCCTTTTGCTCCGGTGGTTTGGATTTTTAGCCAACCAATTCGACTGGAAACTTCAGTTGGTCTCCGATGTCTCCTGTCCTACTAATTTTTGAATGTGACCATCAACCAAGTCGCCTTATTCGCTTAATACCACGGAGCGCATGAGTGGAACTGTGTGACTGATGATTTCTGTCGTCCCTCACCTTTTTGACTGCTCAATCGCCACTTCGGAAATCAACTTTCTATGAATCTCAGTAAGAGGCACGTGTGTCATTCTCCTTAAGTGACGCCTAACTGCGTCGCGCTGTCTCTATTTACCCCTTGGCGTCTTCATAATGTTTGCTGGCTGCCTTCAAAGTATGGTTATAGATAAGGGATTAGTTCTTGCAAGCATTCCCATTTCTTGTCGGTCAGCTATATTTGTCCAGTGGCCCGCTATTTTGCGTTCGTTTTTAATCAATAATTAGTAGGCTGGTTCACATGAGCTTTTTGTATGTAAGGTTATCTGTTTCCCCAGGTATGTTCAATAGACATTTGTCCTACTGGCTTCCACGATTCATCCTTACATCTCACACTCACCACAAATCCTTTTGTCATCAGCTGATCAAAAAGGACTTGGTTCCGCAAATAACGTTTTGACTGAAACTCCCAGTCTTCAGTCTCAACCCCGATTGGTGCCACACTCTAATTCCCACCAAGATAGAAGCTCGGAAACAACTCTTCTGCATACACTGCCTCCACTGTCTCGGTCCATGACTTCGGCACCGAGCGGTGCGTCCACTCGACCTCTTGGTCCCCCAACTGAATGGCAAAAAGAGAACCTGCTCAAACCTGGTCCATGGGTAAATGAAAAGGTACGCCACTTACTGTTTCACACTGACCACTAGGTCTGCTGCAAAATTCAAAGGTTCTGTGAGAACTCCAAACCTCTGTTATTAGATTTTTTCACGGGCAGTACATTTGAGTAGCATGCGAGAACTTGCACTTGTCAAGGCATTTGGATATCCATTGCCAAAAAACAGATCCAGCGATCACAGAAGAATTTTTACTTGCTGCCAGGGAGATTACTGTACTGAGCAAATGGCAGTTTGTTGCCGTGCATTAGAGACACACCGCATCTTCCCTCAGACCACAAGCAACAACTACCTAACCTACTTCGAACGGAAATAAAGCGTGATTTGTTGGTTCTGTCATGCAAGTAAACATCACACTGTGCCAACTGCTAGATACGTTGAGCAAATACGACAGATAAGCGCCATAACTGTTTACCGCCGCCATCTTATTTCTAGATTTGGCCTCCTTAGACACTCCCCTGATATTACTGATCACACGCTGTCTGTTAGATCTTCGATAGTCGTAGATTGGATTGCGTGTCTCACATCCTGATTATCCTCACAGCTATTTGGGTCACCGACAAAACAAAGCGACAAAATGCAGGACTAAAATAAACGCATGTTGACGCACGGACGACTTTGAATGTGTGGATCACAGTAAACAAGATATTGTAAGTGGAGCAATCGAGTATGCTAGCAGTTTCTTATAACAAAGCGGAATAACTGAACTTATAAATATAGCAGAATAACAAGTACGTTACCTACGGTATCCGGTAAGGTTGACTCATTTCAAATACCCAGCTAACCATTTACTCTGGTCTGTGTTCCAACTTAGTACCAAACAGATTGCGTTGACTGCACGCGCGCTCCTCGGATTTCTGTTGCATACTGTTGTTCACAGCAACAAGTACCACGCACACCGGTAGGTTCGGTTTTTGAACATGTCTTGCAATGAATCCACTGACTTTCGAGTCTTAAGCTAGAAGGCCAACAGACTGTCATGAGTTCCTTGATTCTCCTACATCAGGCCATCGCTTGCCCTCGTTACCCATTCTACTGACTGGAATCAGTGTGTGTGGGAGCAGAAACACGGGGTAGTATTCGTGGTGGAGAAATCCGGTAAGTGTGCTCGAGTCACTTTATTCACTGTCGGGAAATGACATCGTTTAGTCACAAGTTTGCAGCACGTAAAACTCCGATAGCTGATGTATTTAATACCCGGAAATGTGTGATCACTCCCCGAAAAGCCCAGCCACATGTAATCTCATGTGTTCCTCTCTAGACATGACTATCAACCGAAGATTGCCTCGGCATCCTCGTTGCTGCTGTACTTCAATATTTCACCCACAAAGACAACTATGTCCCCTTAGTTTGACCAGTTTGACAGCCTGATTCGGCCGCAACAACTACGTTGCTTTGGTCATGTGTTTCTTATCAGTTGATTTTGGTAGTGTGGAAAATTCACTCGGGAACAATACATTCGGTCGTGCTAGATAGGGATTCATTACAAGTAGGGTCATCGGACGGAGAGAGGAAATTGGAGGTAAATTGAGGCTATTGGAGTCTCCTCAGATCATTTATTTATTTACCCTCAAACTTCATGCGTTTTCTCATGAGTATACAGCCGTTTTTAAGTTCACTATCCGTACCCTGAGGTCTTTTCTAAATATGGATCACTAAATTTCTTGTTTTGCTTTTAACTGCATTCTGTTGATGTTGAAGTGCACTTCTGTCAACCTAATTATCACCTGCGAAACATGTTCCTTTCGTTTTCTCCTTAAGATAATTGCCTACTCCCCCATATGTGTTGCTGCATGACTGTGACATCGAAAAGTAAGGACTAACATAAGTAGCAGTTTGAAGATTACCAGTTGTCTTTCAAGAAACTGCCCTTTTATGTGGTGTTTTCCGTTTTTACCTAATTTTAAGCAGAAAAATTCGCATGTTACCGCAAATGTTATAGTTCGGTTCACGTACTCGCTTCTATATTTTGGCCCTCAGCTTTTTTGCGAAGCTTTGGGATATTGGACACAGTACAGCGTAAAACAGTATGGTATGATATATTTGAGTAGAGTATAGACCTGGAGGCAACCAATGGATTGTGTCGCGAGTTCCCAACTAGCTGTTTCGTTACGCAACCTGGCGTAATTTCGCATCGCATGCTTCAGCGTTGCACCGTATTGCATAGTCTATTATAGTGCATAGTATACTGTGATATTGTACATTGTCGGGTAACGTGCATAGCGTTTAACAAAGTTTACCTCCGTTTACCGGGCCAAACAACTTTCCATCTGTCGATGGTTCTATCTCCCGTTTGACACTGACAAGTGGCCAATGGTATGCTTTTGGAACCACTCTGTCTTATTCCGTTCCTCGGGTATCTTACCTGCTGAATGATGAAATTTGGATACCTATTCAGGTAGTTCGGCTTTAGACGCCAGACCATATGCAGGTTGGTGAATCGTTCGCCTTGTACGAATCTTAGGCCATTGATGTCAGAGGACACAGCGCAAGCAAGCTGGTTACCAGACGCTACGTGTCTCGGAGAAGATTCTCCTGCCTTCAATTCATAAAATTTTGATTTCCCTAATTACCGTTAAACTTACTTTTTTTCACTCATGATGGACGATTGTAGATTCCGTCAGAATCAATGGAAATTTGTTTAGGGGTAGTTGGAATAGTTTTGTCTTTCACATCGAAATCCGGTTTATGCTAATCAGAACCGTACGCAAATGTCAGGCTAGGTTTTTGAGAACTTTCTTTGCTTCAATCTAGATTCGCGGCACCCATTCACTGCGCGAATCGGCTCTCATAAGCAGTTAAGGTTCGTTTTTCCACCTAGTCGTCCGAAATGTCATCAGCATCGCAGTTTTAGCAGTATTTTCATCGTTTATTAATTGATTATCGATCATATCACTAGTTTGTCATTAGCGATTATGACTTATCCAACGACTGTGTGCCCAACTGGTGTCCTCCCTAATAATACCATGCACAGGACGTAGACTTGTTGGTCCCTCCAAAGTACGAGCATAGAGAAAGTTCACTTTGTTTCGGTTTTCGAAATTGTTAATTGTATGAGAATAATTAACCGTCCCCTTTGGAATTGTCTGATTTAGCCAGTAAATCCACGCTGTCTTTCAACATGGTGTCGCTGTGACGTACTACGCCAGTTCATATCTTACATTGGTTATGCATGTCTTGGATGGTTATTTCTCCCTTTCTTTTTTGTGACAAATATTCACGGTAAGAAAAACAAGGGGAATTTTTCATCCGCGCCACCTGTTTTATGAAAACTGTCTACTTGAGTTCACACGTCTGTCGGAAAATTTTAGGCGACCAGTCGGCAGCACAGGTGTTTGCGTTCGATGCACAGATTGAACTTACTTTCGCACTTGCGTGCCTGAATGGGCGACAAAAATCGTCAGCATTTTTCCAGTGTCCTGATTACCGCCCCAGAAAAACTGGAGCAGCTTGTTTCTTATTATCACCGCGGCTTCTCCGGTATGAGTCGGCGCTGAAAACTCGCAAGATTTCGCGTGCATTACTCAGCTTCGAAGTACCAGGAATATCCCTGCAGAGCTTCCTTCTATGGGGATTGGCTCTGATTCCAAAACAATTCAGCGTATTTGATTGCACTGTGTGCAACATGCTTGAGTAGCTGTCGCAGTACATAAACGGGGCGATTGGCCAGTGTTTTTAGCTTTTCAACGTGTCACTTTGGTTTTAGGTGATGTATTTCACTCTGTGTTTCTACTCGGTGTCAAATGCAGATTTTATGACCTAATGATTATCGATTTCTAAGTTTCTCTGGCGTTAATCACGTTGAACTGTGCAGGCATCACTCACCAGATGCATGTGTGTGAAGCCTGGGACTTCCCATGCAGGGCTCCAGTTATCACCCTACCGAGTAAACACTATTCTGAATAGTTTACTTCACCCGGGAGCGTTGTAGGATTCATCCAAAATAGCACATTCGGGCAAATTGTGGGGAGCTTGACTCATCGTCTGTGTAATCGACATTCGGCCGAGTGGGCTGTCTCAGAATTCAGATAAATGCGTCTTGAAGGGGGGTTTTCCTGGAGATGGGTGTTCTGGCCTCCCTGGGACAGCCTCTCCTCAGGAGGAGGAAATTAATAGATTATGGTTGACGGGAGTTTTCCCAGAAGAGTGTCGCCCTTCCGAAGGGTTCATTTTTGTGTTTCCTTCCGCGAAATTCGGTTTCTCGTGCAAGCGTATGGAATTCTTCCTAAGGAATTGTGAATCTTCCATGTCTCAGGTACCGTCGGGTTTCATGTAATCCGTGATTTCGGATACGTTACGTCTATGTCACGGTTGTAAGCCTTGGCCCTTACGAGTGGAGACTGGCTACTACACTTTTGTAAAATAAATTGACTTGTCTATATGGCTGTTGAGCACTACATTTCTATTCTGGGGATGGTCGTTTTGATGAATTCATAACGGCTCTTCAGAGAAATTTGCAAGTTATTCATCCTTTGATACACCCCACAGCGCATCGTTTCAGATACAACACACGTATTTCATGAAAATAACACAGCTTTCGAACAACACTTCCCTACTATTGAATGTCCAAAACTCAACGTCAGTTAACTGATATATAACGGTTGTAAACGTGCCTAAGTAACATGATGCAATACAAGGAGGTCTCTTCGATGGGCCGTTTTCTCTTTCGAGTGGCGATCTATAGGAACTGAATGTTTCGCCTGCTACATACTTCTGATGGACAGATATTTAAGAATCCTCTTATGAGCTATAAATCGTAACTATTTTGCTCAGGAATCTCACAATCCACAAGAAACATCAGAGAAACCTCCACTTGCAAAGTTATCTCGTGTGATTGAATGATAGTGGTTATATACCTTGTTCAGATGCAAGTTTTCCGTACCTCCTATCGTGACCGAATTTGTAGTGTTCGACTACTAACTGAAAGGTTGCATATCCGAAATTACCTGACAATTTGTTAGTTGTGTGCTTCGTAATAAAGAGTAAACGTTTGTATAGAG